AAGATTTCTCTGGCTTCCATTCTGCAGAACTACTGTGTGTCTATCATCTCTTAACTACAGTACCTCAGAAATGGACATGCAGCTTCAGGACATACCCGACAGGGCCGCATCTCACTCCCTTTTTCTGCTGAAGGAATCATTCTGATTGTACCTGTTCCTGGATCACTTGACTTAATCTGTCCTCTGCTTTCTACTGGAGCTTTTTCAGTGAGAATGGAAGTATTTCAGTTTTGCTACTTGGCATTAGCACTTTGGGTCACTTAAAAACCAGCCTTCACTTGGGGAAAGAAATCTTGGTCTAATTAGCCAGTGACTCATGTACCAAGTGATTAACTTTTCCCTCTCGTTTCACATGACTTCTCGGAATTGTTTTTATAACTGTTATTATGTCAAAGTGACCCTGGCACATACTGTCCCAAGCCACACCTTTCAAGGAGCCATAACCTTCCAGCAGGTCATGACATACTGAAATAAATGATGGAATACATCAGCTGAAGTAACAGCCTGTATACCAACAGTGAGGGACCAGWTCAGGTAAAGAATCTGATGAACAGGACAGGAGACAAACCAGAAGGCCCTTGTGGTGCAGCTCCAACAACAGGCAAAGCAGCAATTGGTTTTCCAGCCATGGCTTCTTCAGAGCAAAGAAGCTGCTGCTTTGACAAAGATGAGCACAAACCACTGCAACATGCAAAAACCCCACTGCACGGCTTTCATAGATATCAACACAATTATATATAGSATGGGAGGGCAGATGCCAAGATGGGATGGAGATAACAATGCTGAGTGGTGAAGGATACTGTTACTAAGACAACAGGCTGAGAACTCCTCCAGCACCAAGGGAAGATCAAACAGGGAAGATAAAGTTCTTTAGGAACTCCTCCCCAGATAACAGAAGGATCTGATTCTCAAAGCATTGCATGCAGCTCCTGATCAAACTGTTCTTTTCCAGACTATCTCTGCTCTGGACTTTTTCACATCATCCTTCAGCGTCTGCCTGCTCCTACACTTGCACATTCATGGTTTCTACTTGATATATGAATTCAGGACATTTTCTTCTTTTACAGACAGTCAAAATCCAGTCAACCCTTCCTCACCCTCATTGATTCCACTCTTCTCCATTCAATCCTCCACTTCTCAAKTTTGTACATGTCTACTGTTCTCACTTCTTCCATCAGAGGTTTGCCAAATTCTGGAACTTCTTTCTGTCTCTCCAAAAAGTTTGCATTACCCCATAATCAAAACTTACTTCCCATATTGCTGCTCAACTGGAAATCAAACTCCTACTACAACTTTTCCAGCACATTTAACAGGTTAACTAAAATTATCTTACTTTACTAGCATTCAGCTAAAACCTCATGATTTTCAGACTAGTTTCGTAAAAGGTTTGAACACTCCATCCGATTTTTTTCCTGTTCTGTATAATTACACAGCATCACTGAGAGCTAAAAAAGTGTAAATATTGCTAAAATGCCATTTCAATAAGCTTCTTTTAAACTGCATTATAATGGACTTGTCGCTATATGTATGTACAGCAAACTGTAACTACATAGTTACTTACAAGTTGTTCATAATGCAGTTTTACATGTATACACACATATTTATAAACACAAATCTGTCATTACATTACAATCAGTTGTCAACACTTGCTCGTCTACATTTACAGGATGGCTAAAACCYAGTCTCATGCTCTAGGGCTCCAGGTGGTTACATGGAAGACAAGTGATCTTTCTCATTCTGTAAGTATGCACATGTATGCGCACGCACAGGAAGCTGAGCATGTTTGCTATTTAAATGGAAGATGTATCCAGAAGTCACTGAATGACAGGACCCAGCTGGCCAAGGGCAGCCCCAGGGTTAAGCAGCTACTGGGCTCTGTGCAGCCAGCAGAGGTTACCGCCTTTTGTAGCGGTTCAATGACTGCCCTGAGAGCCGAGCACAGAAATTAAACAACAGACCAGAGACCGGTTTGTTGCCGCTCCAGCACCGGGTGCACCCCAGCCGGGCGGGTCTGTGCCGGCGCAGGCCGGTGGCTGCCAAAGCGAGGGCCTCAGTCACCGCAGCCACTGACAGGAGGGTACGGCGGAACCCGCGAGCGGCGGCGCTCGGAAACCCTTCCCGCCTGTCAGCTCTGCCCGGTGCCGCTGCGCCGCCGCCCTTCCCGCCGGACGGGGCCTGGCCGGGCCGGGTGACAGCGGGACAGCGGCACCCGCTGGGAAGGGACAGCGCCGCGCTCACCGCGGCCCCTGCTGGGGGGCAGCCCCGCCGTCCCTCCCTGTGCCCGGACCCGCCGTGCCCCGGGGCGCCGGTGCCGAGCGCCGGGCGGCAGGGGACGCGTCCCGGTGCCCTTGGCGCCGCCGACCTCGCCCGCCCAGCCGCCGCCCTCCCTCGCTGNCTGCCCCGCTCCCCGCGGCCGGCGCCCGCGGGCGGTACCTGTCGGAGGGCGCGCAGGGAGCGGCCCAGCGCGCGGCCGAGGCAGCGGGACCGCCACAGCGGCACCATCGCGGCAGCGGCGGCAGCGGCGGCGGGAGGGGCCGCAGGGCGGACACCGGAACCAGGCCCGGCGCGAGCCGGAAGCGCACGGGGCCGGCCCAACCTCCCGGAACGAGGGGAGCGCGGCCGGGGGGCGGGGCCACGGCGAGAAGGGGCGGGGCCATGTCGAGAGGGGGCGGGGCTGTGGCGAGAGGGGGCGGAGCCACGGCGGGAGGGGGCGGGGCTGTGCGGCCGGGACAGCCGGGAACGGGGTGTTGGATTAATATTCCCGCGTATTACCATATCTGTAATAACGTATGGATTAATACATTATATGTAATATAGTACACGTATATTACATATTCTTATGTATAGATCACACATATGTAAATATCTATGTATTACATATATTTATATAAGCACACCTATATGTATATGTATATGTAGGTGTTATTATATGTAATAATATATGTATATGTTTTACATTTATTATTTACTGTGCTTTACAAAGAGGGCTGTTTCAATATGCTCTTCTTTGAAGCAGCCCCGGGTTGCTGCAGGGCAGCTGTACCCGTGGTTTTCCTGCTCGCCTTGGCAAGCCTTGGGGCTGAGCTCCTGTGGAATGATATTGCCCCGAGCAGCAGCCTGTGGGATGTTGCATGGTTAGAAATGGGCAATGAGGTCATCTCACCATGGTAGAAAGGAAAATGAGTCCATAAGTAAGCCCTGTTCTTCTGTGTGCTCTGCACGTTAAAAATGTTAGAGAATCCCCCAGCTACATTATTTTTTTCTGCCTGCTTCCAGGTGGGAAAACACAGGTAGAAGAAAACCCAAGGAATCTATTTACAGATTSTGAGAACTAGCCTGGAAAGGTTATAAAGGGCTGTCTGGCATCCAGGCATCTCTCAAGGAGCCAAGTCTGGATTATGCACATGTGCTTAATTTAGCCACTACTTAATAATATATGAATGGTAAACTGCAAGCTTCAAAATATAAGATCATTTTCAAACGAAAGAGGTTGAATAAAAAGCAACAGGGAATAGTCTCTGAGGCTTTGAGGATGAGCTGACTGCTCCAATAAAATGTAGCCAAGCCAGAAAGGCTCTCTGCCAGGGATTTCTTTGTGATCTTTCGAAGACTAATATCCTTGAACAATACTGATAACCTGATGTCAATCGCTTTTAACCACAGCCTTCTGCCTATCCAATGAACACACTAAACATTGCCATGCTCAGTAAGCATGAGCATGCAAAGCAGATGAAGTCCCAGGAGTGGCATTCATGGCTAGACTTTGTCCACCCACCACAGCTCCTGCATCAGGAGAATTGTCTGACAATCCCACATGCTGCCRGGGCAGGTAGGTTTGTCCTGGGGCTGGGGTCAGGATGTGTTCAGCTGGGAGGGATGCCAGCTCTGCTGGCACTGTCTCTAAAGCATCCTGTGACAAGCAAGGGACTCTGTTTTACTGGTCTTCCTGTGTTGTCCCGTCTCCTGGCCATGTCCTATGCTGCAGACCTCCAGGCCAGCTAAAATGCCTTCATGCACCCATGGTGGGGGATGTTGGAAATCCCTGGGCACTTTCCATGGAAGATGGGTAGCTGGTGGGATCTGGACCAGCTCCTTGTCTGGAGCACTGCTTGTCAGCCTGGTGTATTTGCATGTCTCACTGACYATTCACCATCCTGGGTCCTGAATGGGGTTTCCAGGCCAAATTCTAGGAGAAAATTGCTCTTCTGGGCCTCTGCCCACTCGGGCAGCCAGCAGCTCGGCACCTGACAGCCCTTGCCTATCTGACTCCAGGGGCTACGATCGTGGAAGACAGCAGGGAAGGTGGCTGGAAGCTGATGTTGGACCTGACCTCCTGGATGTCCATCTGCATATTCAGAAGTCGTTCCCAGCTGGTTGGCTGCCTCCGGCCTCCCCACTCCCTCTTTAAAGGCCCTGAGCGCAGCGGGAGGAYGCGCCGGCGCTGCCTCTGCGGCATCCCGCATTCCCGGAGCCCGCCCGCGGGATCGCGCTCCCCGCGCCCCGGGGACAGAGGGATGCGGCGGCTGGGGATGGCTCTGGGGGGAATGGCAGTGCTGGAAGGACGGCAGGCTGCTCCGTGCACGGCTGTCCCATCGAGGAGAACCTGAGGAGCCCATGTGGGGTGGCTCCAGTTTTGGAGAAGGCACACTGACCTTCTGAGCATCTTTGTTTCATTCCTGTCTTTCTCTTCAGGTAAGAGGCGTCTCGGCTGCTTTTTATTGTTCTAGAAGGTGGCACTAGTGAAAGATGGTAGTAAAAGTAGGAACCAAAGCACTCACCTCTCAACTTGGTGGGGAAAGAGTTTGCTTAGGGCAGCATCTCCTGGTCCTGTGGCACTGGGGACACTGTGAAGAGGACCCAGGGCCACCRAGAGCGAGCTGCCATGGTCTGGGACCACAGGCTCTGCTCCCTCACTTCAAATTTCCACATGTAAGACGGTGGTGCTGGAAACCTGAAGCAAGTGGAGGTTGCCTTGCYAGCTCTGCGTTGATCTGCTTACAATGGGTGTATCACCCAGTTTCTGGGGGGCTGCCAAGCCTCAGAACAGGGGCAGGTAAGCTCCAGACCTTGCTGTTGAGAACAGCAGACCAGAGAAATTGTGAGCAAGTGTCAAAATGAATTATTTCTGTAAAAAAATGAGTGAGTTTAGATGACCGGCTGTCTTGTGCCCACACCATTGCAGAAAGGATTAAGGGTGGATGGAATCTGTGACTGCAATATGTTTGCTGTGGGACTTCAGGGGATGCACATGGCAGGCTAAGAGGCAATGGTGAAGCTTCTGACACAAGGGCAAGGCCTGATGTTGAGAGGTGCTGGCACCCTGACCTTGTGCTGGCTGTGGATAAACTGAGCAGTTTGAAAGACCCCACRGCAAACTATCAGGAAAATGAAACYCTAATGRTCAGGTGGGGAGACAACACAGGAGATCAACAAGTGGCGTCAGATAATCCAGAAAATACTTGTTTTGTCAAGATTAGAGCTCTGCAAAAAAGTAGAGTTCTCCCAGACACCTGCCTGGAATTCAGGGATTTCTGATTAAAGGTAACCAGCTAAAAACCACTGAGAAGAAACCCATTTTCTACCCTGCCCGGAGGACTCTGTGTGGAGCAAACAGTTACAGGGACAGGAGACTGATGGTGTCGAAAATGATCAGGCATTTCTGGAAATAGCAAAAGAATCTCAGTCTTCAAAGGAGTCAGGGAAAGATAAGAGCTGTCCYAGTTTAGTGGTGCAAAGCTACTGCTAATTAATGTGGATGTGGAAGAGACATCCTACAGGGATAGTTACTGTGTAATTGCCCAGGATACAATGTTTTACACCTTTTGCAAAGCTGTCCAAGCGAGGGGATGAGTGGAGGGGGTGGATCCCTGCTTGGAGTCAGCATGACAATTTTAAGCCTCGGGCTGCTGGCTCAGTATTTTTTCTCTTCCCTCGTAATCCCCGCCCTCATTCCTTTCATTAGGTGTTTTGCCAAGCACTTAGGAGCCCCGTGTTGTGTTAGCCTGAACACCTCGGTGTGTCCCACTCACAGCAGTCACACTGCACTTTTACCCTCTTTGTGCCCTTCCACCAGCCCTGGGGGCTCTGCTGGTGGSTGCTGGGGCTGGCAGCAGCCGGCAGCATCCATGGCCTATCCTGCTGTGTGCTGTGAATATCTTCACCAGGCATGCAGCAGCTGTTGTGGGCTCTGCCAGCACCCAGGAGCACCCAAACCCACCCCTTTGCCCGTGTGTGTGTGTGGCAGAGGGCTGTGCCTGATGCTCACTGTCCCCGTGGCCGAGCCCCCAGGCCCAGAGGGCACTGTCCCCAAACGCCTCTGGTGCAGACACAGCTGGTGGTGTGGGAGGTTTGTGCCACCAGGCACAGCCAGGGCCCAAAGCAGATGAAATGTGCTCTGGGCACCATGAATGCCTGGCTGGTAGGTGTGAGCTGTGGCAGTGCCCGGGGTGTTGCTGCTGTTGTGTGACACCCAACAGTCTGCTCACAGGTTTGGCAGTGCCTGGAGGTTTCTGCCTGGGTCATTCCATGGTGAAATAGTCTCTGCAGGGATGCCGTGGAAATCTGGGAGGAAAAATCTCTGTCCATGTGCTTGGAAAACTGCTGTATGAGGTCCTTTTTCTTGTTCTTTCTCCAGTTCCRCACCGCTACCAGGCTGAAACATCAAACATCTGGGAAACCTGCCAGTCTGTCCAGGCAGGAAGAAGATACGATGGACAGCAGGACTGGCTTTGAGCAGGACAGAGACTGTGCCACTTCAGGGCATGGTCAGGGGCTGAAATTGGAGCCCTGTTTCCAGACTGACTCTCTCTTGCCTTCCCCTGACACAACTCTGATACCACAGCTCCTCAGCCACCCCATGGCTGGCAGGAGCCCGGATCCCACCATCCTTTTCCCTTCCTCTCAGACAGTGGCCCTGCCTCTTGACTACAAATGTTGTGCACGTCCTGGAGAAGAAGCGCAAGGCCTGGCTTTCCCCATGACCCATGGCCCGGCTCCTGTGCCCTGTGCTGATGGGGACCAGCTCTCCAAGCAGCACCCACGGGACCAGCTGTCTGACCAGCACCTACGAGCCAAGCGGGCCAGGGTGGAGAGCATCATCCAGGGCATGAGCCTTCCACTAACCCCTCAGGCATTTGACATGAGCCTGAGGGCAGCTTTTAGGCATGAGAGGGACAGGGGTGGTGAGGTACCCCGGGAGAGCAAGGGGAAGCTGAGGGTGCCTCAGCAGGGCGTGGGGACAGCTGGACAAGTGGCTCCCACAGGGGACAGCTCCCATGCCAAGGGCTGCCAGCAGCTGAAAGAGCAGCTCTGCTTTTTAGAGCAGCAGCTGARGTGGCTTCAGGAGAAGTTTTACCAGGTCTGTGACTCTGAGGATGCTTCCCAAACCCAGGAAGATTCCGAGAAAGTGCAGTTACTACCTGGAAAGACTGGAGGCAGACGGAACAAGGACAGTGCCACTGCCACCAGCAACCCATGCAAAGTGCCTCTCAGGAGGAGCACCCTGGAGGTGCATGGGCTGGAGGAAGCTGAGGACAGAGGTGACACAGGTGGCCTGCCCTCAGCAGTGAGGGTCCTCTCACAGGCACTGAAGCACGAGCTGGCTGTGGTGACATCCCAGGTAGTGGACTCTGTCCTGAAGACTGTCTGGCCAAAGGCAGGCAGCCACATCCAGAAGCAGCACCACAGCCTCCCGGTGCCAGGGCCAGTTGCCAGGAGACAGAATTCTGCTGGTGGGAAATGCAGAAAGTCACTTGCTAAGCCATCTCCCATGAATGCACCAGGCTCGCTGGGCTCACCCCAGGCTGAGGTCCTGCCAAGAGCTTTGGAGAAGAGCCTGGGCTCTTATGCTGGCTCCTTCAGCTCAAAGGGGGTCAGAAAATCCTCTCAGCTACCCAGTATGGGTTATTCAGTGGGCACAGCCACCCCTGACCAGGACAGCCAGCTSCTGAGCCAGCTGTTGGGCTATGGCCAGCACAGCCTCTGGGGCAGCGACTCTCGTGAGAACACATCTGCTCTGGAGAGGGGTTGTCCAGAACCACTCAATTTGCACTGGGGAAATGTCAAACTGAGGTCATCGATTGTGAGACAGCAGCAGCAGCATCCCCTGCCCCTGAGCCCTTCTGACATGGAGAGCCTGGCACTGTCAGCTGACAGGGACRGCCGCAGCGAGCAGCCAGCTGCGATGGACCGAGTGCCCTTTGCCTCGACCCATATATCCTTTGGGGGCAGCTRGAGGTCCCTGGGGAATGTGCTCCCCTTGTCCTCTGGAGCCACAGCTTGGCACTGCCCCTGCCRGTCTCTGTAAGGCCAAGGTCCCTCCATAGGGGGCTAAAAAGGTGTGGGCAGGAAAGGGATCTTAAGCCATGGAGAGGCATTGCTGCTCCTCATGGAGTGTAGCTGTGGGTATAAGTCAGCAGCTACCAAGCCTGCTCTTCAACCATACTGGGGATCCTGTCATCCTAATCCAGGAACAGGTGTCCCATGGAAGTTCCAGTTCTCACCAGACTCTGAAGAGGTGGGGGGAGGATTAGCTTCCTCAGGGATGCTGAAGGGAAGTATCAGTGGCTGTTTAGCCAGGGATGAACCCCTTCTGCCCCACTGACAGGCATGGTGAGGGGTTATCGTGGGCACTGGCCATGTGTGTGTCAGGGCTGGTGCGCAGGGACATGCTGAGCTCACAGTTTGCTACGTGGAGGCTTTCCTTGACCCCAAGGCAGATGCAGGAGGTGCTGACCCCTGGACACCTGAAGAAGGCCAAGCTGATGTTTTTCTTCACCCGCTACCCCAGCTCCACTCTGCTGAAGAGCTACTTCCTCGATGTGCAGGTAAAAGAGAAGCTGCAGGAGCTGGTGCTGGGCCAGGCTGCCGTGTGGTGTGGCAGCTAGCCTGCCTCCCTGGGGAACCATGAGGAAAGGGCTGCTCTTGTGTGCTCCTGCCTTGCTGGCAGGAGATGGGGACAGCACCTATGTCAGGTCTTCACTCTGTGCAGTTGAGGTATTCAGATTAAAGTACATGAATGGGCCCGACCACTGCAGGGCAGCTGAGATCCAAACCTCAGCATGGAAAGCACCACAGACACCCCCAAATCACAGTCCCAGCTCGTGCTCTTGCAGCCTTGGGGCAGGGCTGGGTTTGGGCCAGTCCAGCAGGGCATGGCTGGGTTTCTGGGGGCTCGGGGGCACCATAACACCGTCCTCTGGCTCTCCCCCTCCAGTTCAGCCGCTGCATCACCTCCCAGCTCATCAAGTGGTTCAGCAACTTCCGTGAGTTTTACTACATCCAGGTGGAGAAGTTTGCCCGGCAGGCCCTGCTGGAGGGTGTTGTGGATCCTTGCACCCTCCAGGTCTCCCGGGACTCGGAGCTCTTCCGTGCCCTCAACATGCACTATAACAAGGGGAATGACTTCGAGGTGAGGAGGGGGATCTGGAGGAAGAGGGTGGTGGAATTTTCAGTGGTAATGAGGAACCAGGGRCACGGTGGTGTCACTGGGGGATGCCTGTCTTGCTGCAGGTGCCAGGGCGGTTCCTGGAGGTGGCCAGCCTGACACTGCAGGAGTTCTTCAGTGCCGTCAGGGCAGGCAAGGATGCTGATCCCTCCTGGAAGAAACCCATTTATAAAATCATTTCCAAACTGGACAGTGACATCCCAGAAGGGTTCAAAGCTGCCAGCTGCTCCCAGGAACTGCTCCACAGCTAAGTCTTCGTGAAAGCAGCCCTGGGTCCTGTGTGCAGCCACCATGTGCTCAGCACATCATGGGGACCCTGTACATCATCTGTTATTTGTGGTATTCTCTCTCTTTGAGGGCCATGGCCTCATGGAAAGAGGCTCTTTGGGTGAGGCCTATCACTTGCCTCATATGCTGAGATTTTATGCTGTGTATTTTATTCTGCTTCTTAAAGTTGGTGGGGACCCACAGAAGGGAGGAACAGCAATGAGGCCAGCAGTCTGGAGCCTGAGAAGTTGCCCTGGCTCAGCTATCCCCATGACCCTGGGGAGCTGAGCCGCCTTCATTCTCTCTTCTGGAGGTCACAAACCAGGGCAAACAGCCTTGCTGTTTATAAAACAGGCAGAGGTCCTAGTAGTGGGCAAAGTTTCCTTGGCGCAGCAGAGCAGCGGACGTGCCCAGTCCAATGGAATCACTGAGTTCCTGTCCAGACACAACACGCCAGTGTCCAAAGAAAACAGCTGGCGAATTCCAGCATTTCAAGCACCCCATGGGGATAGCTGTCCGTGTCTGGGATATGTCAAAACGGTGTTTGTTGTAGCCAGCAGGAATAACACCCTCCTGTACCTTCCCCGTGCTGTTAGCCAAGACCCCCCGTGCAGCTGCGTGCTGCACCAAGCAGGGCTGTGCGCCCCAGCAGTGTTTCTGGGATGCTGGAGGAGCACAGGGTGCACAGCCAGTGCTGCTTGGCACTCCAAACAGCCTTCCTCAGCCCATCACCTGGGAGGACAGCTCCACATTAAACACCCTCCCRTGTCCCCTCACATCTCGCTCCTGAAGGCAAAACTGCCTCAAGCATCTCAGCTCTGCAACCTGTCTTTGGTGAAAGAGGAGCATGTTTTTGGGATCCATCAATCCTGGTGGGTTTAACCCAAGCTGGGGAAGAGCTGGGCCCTGACATCTACAGCCCCAGTGCTGTAAGGACTGTAAAGTCAGGTTTCTTTACCCTGTGACTCAGACTCTTTGGCTGCTTTTTACCTGATGGAGCATGGTGAAGCGTTTTGTGTTACAGGATCTCTAATCCTGACAGAGGTGGGAGTGGATAGGAAAAGGGTGAAGAGAGGGAGGTCCTGACAGAGGCAAGGCAGGAGGGCACTGGGAGGGAAGTGATGAGCAACAACATGCCCATGCAAAACCCTCAGGGAGAAGAAGATTGGSAGAAGGCCAAGATGTGGGGTGTGTTGTGTCAGCTGGTACTAGAGCTCAGCAAGTGACTCATGAGAAGAAAATCACAGCTCCAGCATCAGATAAGTGCATGGGGTGGTCCACAGCCAATGAATCTGTAGGGGTAAGGAAGCATGTGGTAACATCAGGACACAGTGGGGAGCTCTGAAACAGGGGCAGCTTGACAGTGGTTCCCCACATTGCAAGTGTAGCYATCCAGATTTCTCGCTTCTGTTTGTATGTTTATTTCTCAAAGTTTGTATGTTTTACAACCCCAAGACCAAATTTACTTGACCCCCTTTTAAATAAACACATTGTTTAAGTTATCAGTTTATATCCCTATAGACTTATTTGATAACCTATGTTTTAAAGATTTATCTTGGGAATTTCTTGCTTTTTGCTGGGAAAAATAACACTGCAGCAAAAGGGCAGTCCTTCCACCAGCATCTCTGTGGGGCCAAGCAGCCCCCACTAACCAACATCTGCTCCTTTACACCTGCCCCTCACCCCATGCCTCATGTCAGTCTGGTCTGAAGAACAACTCATGAGGATCAGGAATAGGGGGGAGCTGGAGGCAGATGGAGACATATCCCAAAGCTCCAGGGTCCTGGACTCAAATGTGCAACATCTGGTAAGTGCTGCTGTWGGTACCATGAATGGCACTGTGCCATTCCTGCAGGCAGTAATGAAGAGCTTAAGTAATGCTTTGGGTAGGCAAAACCAAAGGTGCTGGAAAGGGAAATGATGGCCTGGCTCAGGGAAGGGTCAGTAAATTTATCTGTTCATAGCTAAATAATGAGGGAACATAAGGCACAGGTTAACTGGAGGCATCCTGCTGAAACAAAGCCTTTTTCCACAGGCTTCCTGGTGGGAAAAAAAAAGTTTCTTGCTTCCTGTGGTAGCATGTAAGTTCATGAGTGCCAGTAAAGCAGCAGGTGAAGCTCTGAGGACAAGGCAGAGCCCCAAATYACAGTCATGCAGTGGCTGAGGTTGTAGGGGATGTCTGGAGATGATCTTGTCCAATCCCCTGCTCTGGCAGAGCCACCAAGAGCTGGGCACCCAGGACCACTTCAGAGGGGTTYAAAGTATCTCCAAAGAAGAAGGGACTCTACAACCTGATCATTAATGAAGAGATTCAATAGGATTAGATCAAGTATTTGAAGCAGTATTTTTGCTCCAGTGGTTGCCATATAATTACTTGGAAGTGGGAACTGAAAGAGCAGTGTATTATATGGGTTTTTTGTGAAATATGGGCCACTATGACCACAACAAACAGCATCTGGCAACAATTATCCTCTGTTTGTGATGAGGCTTCATTATTTGTATCCATGGGTTCAATTCTGCCCAGACAGATTTTCCATTTGACAAAGACCCAAACCAAACCAAAAAATCCCTAAGTAAAACAAAACCAAACAAAAGAAAAACCCCCAAACCCCCAGAAAAAAAAAAGAAAAAAACCCAAAACCAACCTAAAAAACCCAAACAAAAAACAATCCACCCAAATAAACAAACAAACAAACAAAAAAAAAAAAAAAAAAAACCAAAACCCCAAAAAAAAAAACCTCCCCAAGAAAAAAAACCAAAACCAAAACCAAAACCAAGCCCAACCCCCCCCCCCCCCAAGGCCCCCGAGAAGGGCTAGAGAGACTCTGCAAAGGACCCAAGATCACAGGGCACCTGTATTGGCTGGCATCTTCTCTGGCAGCTTTTTAGGTCTTGCCYACCTTCAGCCAAGTTTGTCAGAGACCACGGAAGTGTTAGAGATGCAGAGGTAGAATCCACCCACCTTTGTGTCAGCCTATGGTCCTTCTGCAAGCAGAGATCCTGTCTGGGGAGCCTGGGGCACAGCTGCCTCCTCCAGGGCCACTTGTCCTTTTGGAAGCAAGGGGGTTGCACTCAGGCAGGCACAACTCTGCTGCTGAATCAAAGCCTTGTGCTTCTGTGAGAGCCTTGGAATGCAGCAGCCAGCTGAGAAAGAAGGAATTCACACTGCCTTCCCTCCTATCCAGGTCCTAGAATCACTGACATGGCAAAGGCAGAACATCTGCTGGGAGGTGGGGAGAGCTGGAGTTAGTCTAGGGGCAGTGGAGCCTGAAGTGTGAGGGAAATAGGGTGTGAACTCCACACTGTCCATTCACTAGTGGRGTTCTGCAGGTCTCTGTCTTAGGCCCAGTTCTCTTCAACACCTTCATTAACAACTTAGACTCAGGACCTAAAGGAACACTAAGTTTGCCAATGTCAACTCCCTTGAGGGCAGAGAGGTCCTGCAGAGAGAGCTTTACAAATCAGAGATGGGCAACCACTGACCATATGAAGCTGAACAAGGGCAAGTGCCGGATTCTGCCCCTGGGMTGGGGCAACCCTGGATGCRTGTCTTCAACATCCCCAGAARGCTAAGTGGAGAGGCAGGAACTGATTTCTTCTCTCTGGTGACCAGTGACAGGACTTGAGGAAATGGCATAAAGCTGAGTCAGAGGAGGTTTAATTTAGATATCAGGAAAAGATTTTTCACTCAGAGGGTGGTYGGGCACTGGAACAGGCTCCCCAGGGAAGTGGTCACAGCACCAAGCTTGACAGAGCTCAAGAATTACTTGAACAGTGCCCTCAGACACATGGTGTGACTCTTGGAGTGTCTTGTGCAGAGACAGAYATTGAATGTCAGTGATCCTGATGAGTCCTTTCCAACTCAGCATATTCTACAACTCTACCAAATTAAGGTTTCACTGTTTGTGCTGTGCAGGGTATGGTGTGTAATTTCATTTATGTTCTAGCYGTACCCAAGACCTAGAAGCTAGCTTTCAAACAAAGCCCCATGGGTGCCCATCATAGAGAGATTTCYACTGTCAAAGCGGGTCTGCTTGGAAAGCTGGGGGCAGAAGGGAAAGCCCACACAGACACTGTGGTCATGACTACCAGGCTTGGGTGAGCTCTTGCTTCACCATTTTCCACTAATTAACCAAGGAAGCCATTTGGGTAGTGCAGTCACTACTGCTGACTGAGTTTCATCTTTAAATAATAAAATCGTTCCTTCCTTCTATCCGAATTTCTGCAGTATATGAAAAAGCCCACAGGCACATACAGCTATCTCCTGTGGGGACAATTCCTCGAGACTATCCTTAAACATTTCCAATTGCTTTCACAGACWGTCCACAACACACCCAGTCCACACAGCAATACAGAAGCAAAGACTGCTAAATATTTAGAATCACTGATTCTTGCCTCCAGGCTGCAGCTGCCAAAAGAGGGAGACGCGACCACAGTGACTAAGCTGGCAAAGGCCCTAGAGCTCTTATGTACTCCTCTACGTTAATACTTACCATAAGAGCCCTTATTACTAATGTATAGCTAATTAGAGCTTGCAGAAGTTCCTAGTGAATGTTCGCCCYGTGTGCCAAAATAGCTTGAGGGAAACCAACAATAAAASATAACTGGTTTTCCTTTTCTTYTTTTAATGACTTGGACCTGTCTACAGTGACTGAACGAGCCCTAAAAGTTCCCAGCTAAGACAAATGTTCTTGAGGGTGCCCTTCCCACAAATACACATCTCAGATGCTTATTTGGCATCAGGGCAGCTCTCCGTGTAAGCATCCCTTAGTGGGCCAGTGGCCCATGTTCACGAAAATTCAGTATTTGCTGTCCTATTATATGCATTGGAAGGACAGATTAATCCACGTAACTGTACAATTGCTACATCTGAGAGATCCAACACCACTTTTCATCTGGGGAAGACAGCTCTTGCTCTGCCCCTTGTGCACAGAGCTGCCCTGTGCTGTGCACGCAGCACTACTGTGGGAGAAGGTGAAGCGAT